ATGCATTCACTGACTCAGCCTTCAAAGGGAACCCAGCAGTAGTGTGCTTTCTTGATGAGGAGAACAATAGAGACGACTCTTGGCTTCAGTCTCTCGCCGCTGAGTTCAACCTTCCCATGACTTGTTTTCTTATTCAGATCACCGGATCCAATCCTCTTGATCCCCCACGCTTCATACTCCGGTGGTTCACACGCTTTGTTGAGGTCTTGCATCGTTCTTTAGTAACTTCAAATTTTGCATTCATTTAGATTACCAGTCACCATTTTTGTTGTTCTTTTTGACAGATGGACATTTGTGGTCATGCAACATTAGCATCTGCTCACGTTCTATTCTCAAACGGTTTAGTTGGTTCCTCTGACATAGTCGAGTTTGCTACCCAAGCTGGGATTCTGATTGCTAAAAGCGTTCCAGAAAAAGGTTCTTTTTTGGTGGAACTGAGTTTACCTGAGATTCTTACATGTGAATACAACTCAAACGATGTCTCCATGTTCTCCAAAGCCTTAAGTGGAGCTACCATTTTTGACATCAAGGGAACTACAACAGATAGCACCGTCTTAAAAGCCTTGAATGGAGTTGCCAAGGCAGCTTCAACCGACAAAATCATCGTATGCACGCACTTCAAGAACCTTTAAAAACTATTTACCTGTACTGTTTAAATAGTCTTAAATAAGCATTATAATTAAGCATAATAAAATATTGTAATGAATGACACAGGTTGTGCTTCCATCTTGGGATTCTGTCACAGGACTGCAGCCAATAAGGGATGATATCTTGAAATGCCCTGGTAAAATGTTAGTTGTTACTGCTGCTGCTCCTCCAGGATCTGCGTATGATTTCATTAGTCGTGTCTTTGGCCCCAAGATAGGAGTCGATGAGGTTAAAACACCAAACGTCTGTATTTATGTTTATTAATGGATAGACCCTATGAGTCTCACATGTGCTGTTTGTGTTAATTCAGAGCCCTGTCTGTGGAAGTGCACATTGTGCATTAGCACATTATTGGAGCCTCAAGATGAACAAGTGTGATTTCGTCGCTTACGCGGTCAGTTCCATCTCTTTAACTTTCAAGCATTTTAATGTTTTACTTGCCATACTGATTGTGATTTGAAATCTTGGAAACTTGTGTTTAGGCTTCGCCTAGGAGTGGAACACTCAAGATTCACTATGATAAGGAGAATCAGAGAGTCTTGCTTACTGGCAAAGCCGTGACTGTGATGAAAGGCTCCGTCTTAGTTTGATCAGTTTTTTGATAAAATAATGCATATGTTCTTTATAATAAAGGGAAGTGATTTTGGCATAGTGTCGCTTTCAAATAACACTTTATAATAAAGTTGTGTTAAAAAGCAAGTTCTGATAAAAGATGAAATATATAATACAATCTATAACTTTTTTTTTTTTACAGAATCTATAATTTAGTGCTTCATACCATTATTTGTTACAGCTGTTTCCTATGGTTTGATACGTGCCATAATTTGATACGTAATTTTTCTTCTGACTGTTTACACGTGATTATATCTGTGATATCCTCGCGTAGTCAAGGGGGCAACCAAAACAGATCTCCTCTGCATATTTACTCTATTATTGTATTATATAGTAGATTTGTTTGTTGACTATGTCTATCAACAAGACGATTTGGTACTCCTGTCTGTGATGTAATAAAGGGGCGACCAGATTGCATTTCATATGCATATTTCATTCTATTAGTTTCATACAAAGAATCGAGCCGTGGGAGAAAAATGGACTGGATACAACGGTATAACTAGGGTTTATATAAGAGAATGCAGAATAACTACTGTTTATCTAAAATAAACAGTTCTAACGAAATATGAATGGTGACAAGCATTTTAATGTTTTACTTGCCATACTGATTGTGATTTGGAAACTTGTTTATAGGCTTCGCCTAGGAGTGGAACACTCAAGATTCACTATGATAAGGAGAAGCAGAGAGTTTTGCTTACCGGCGAAGCCGTGACTGTGATGAAAGGCTCTGTCTTAGTTTGATCATACTCTTGATAATATAATGCATATCTATTTTCGATCCATCTTATTAAAGATGCAGTACCATTTCAAAATAACTTTTAATTCACATTATTTTTTTATAACACTGATGGAGTTTTAAGGTTTGAAATGATACATTTGTGACAAACAATAACAAAGAGATAAGATGTCAGTAGACACCAAATAAAACAAGGAAGAGCCTTACCAAATCCCTTTGTTACTGAGCCTCCAAAGCGAGAAGGTGATATAACCACGCTGGAGCATTCCGGACGATATATGACTGGTGACGCCGATCACGTGTGACACTTAAAGCAATAGCCGCTGCCGCTTCATTACGTTCCGGGAGAGCGTAGTCCAAACTTCATGAATCTAGACTTGCCAAAAGAAGAATAATAGTGTGCCTGATATGGCTGAAGCAAAGGTGTTCTCTTGGTTTCGTGAGTACATCATGCAAGCTCGCGGAGGAAGTCTCAAAAAAAACATTTGAGAAATGTAGATTATGCAGGCAATCGACAGCCCAAAAGAGAGCCCTCAGTTCAGCCTCGGTTTTTGTGCGCATATACGAATAAGCACGACGACTATGCATGATTGTACTCCCATTTTCATCACGTACAATCCATGAAGCACCACTCGGCTGATTTTAATTTACCCATGAAGATCCCACATTACATTTGAGATAACCATTGAGTGGTTTTTTCCATCGAACCTCTTCCGTATCAACATCCATCTCTGCATCCTTTGATCATGTGAAGATATCAAACCATGTGGATTCTTCTTCATATGCTTTCTTAGCACTAAACGAGGACTCAATAACTTTGGTTTCAAAAACAAAGGAATTCCTGGCTTTCCATATTTCCCACAATATCCATGGAAAAACTTTCCTTGTATGTATATCCGTAGATGAGTTCTTAGCAATCTTGATTAGATGCACAAAATTTAAAAATGTGGAATTCCGAGAAAAACCTCCTAGAGGTAATGGGAAATTAGCTTGTTCCCATGTGACACGTGCTTTACTACATGTAAAAAAACATGACATATAGTCTCATCCCCATTACTGCAAACAGAGCAAGTTGTATCTATCGGAATACCCCGAGTACTCAAACGTTGCTTAACAGCTAACGCACCAGACAAAGCTCGCCACATAAAATGTTTTATTTTTGGTGGAGCTTTAATTTTCCACACATCTTTCCATAGTTGTTTTTCAATAGGAGTCAGCGATTGTCCTGGAGGATGGTCATAATCTACCAAAGCCTCAAGCAACTTATATCCACTCCGAGTCGAATATGAGCAATTTGGTGTGAAACCCCATCTGATAGAATCTCCCATCATCAATGATGGCTTCAAAAGTAGTATCCTTTGAACATCTTGCGGCGTAAAAGTCTGTTGTAACAGATTAGTATCCCAATGATTTGAACCTGGCCTGAGTAGTTCTGAAACTTTAAGGGCTAAATTTATGGAACTATTTTCACGGTACATTGGCGGTCGAGGCACAGTGTCAATAATCCAGTTCTACGCCCAAAAGTTTGTATCAGCCCCATTACCAATATGTCGATAAAATCCTTTTTTGAGTAACTCTTGACCATGGATGATGCTCCTCCATGCATATGATGGCCGTGTCCCCATTCCACAATCGAGAAAGTTTCCATTTTTAAAATATCTACCTTTAAGAATTCGAAAACCAAAGAATTAGGATTGTTCCAAATTCTCCAAGCTTGCTTCCCGAGCAAAGCTTGATTGAAACGGACAATGTCATGAAACCCAAGACCCCCCTGATCTTTGGGTTTACACATTTTTTCCCAAGAAACCCATGGGATTTTTCTTTTTTTTTTGTCACCACTACTCCACCAAAACTCTATAATCACGCTCGTAATTCGTTCACAAAGACCTTTTGGCAATCTAAAGACTGACATAGCATATATTGGGAGAGCTAAAAAGCCACAAACTTTATCAGCATTTCCTAGGCACCCATTGACAATGTTTTAGCGTACCACCCATGTAACCTGCCTTCCAGTTTTTCCTTGATAAAGTTTAAAAGATCTTTTTTTTTATCCTTGAAAACATTCAGGAAGTCCAAGATATGAGCCTTCACCACCTTCTTTCTCTATACCCAGAAAACCTCTGATAGCCTGCTTTGACAAATCATCTATTTTTTTCCCAAATATGATTGATGATTTCAAGGGATTAATCATTTGACCCAACGCGTCCCCATAAAGTTTAAGACCTCTTAAAATTTCTTCACTGTCCCTGACCGAGGCTTCACACAATAACAAGCTATCGTCCGCAAATAACAAATGGTGAAATGAAGGACTGCCCATAGCTAACTTTATTCCATGTAATTTTCCTTGTGCTTCAGCTATGTTTAAGACATGCACTAAAGCTTCGGCACATAAAATGAAAAGAAAAAGAGATAAAGGATCACCCTGCCTTATTCCTCTTTCTGGTTTAATAAACCCGTGAGATCGTTCATTAAGTAATACTGAGAAAGTGACAGTAGTAATGCATGACATTATCCAAGTGACCCATTTTCGATGAAATCCCATTTTTTCTAAGAGAACTTCAAGGAAGTTCCATTCTACCTGATCATATGCTTTTGACATATCTTTCTTAATAGCCATATATTCTATACCAATTTTCTCGTTAGTACGAAGCGCATGAACCAGTTCATGTGCTATAATAACATTGTCTGTAATCAGCCTGCCTCTCACAAAAGCCCCTTGAGTCTCTGAAATTATATTTGGTAAAACCCCTTTTAACCGGTCGCATAAAATACGAGAAATGATTTTATATTGTACACTGCAAAGAATAATTGGACGCATATCCTTCATTTCCGAATGTTGTAAAGTTTTTGGTAACAGAAATAACTGTGTGTGATTCCACCCATCAGGCATGATAGCTGTTTTATAAAAACTTTGAACATCCTGAATCTGTCCCACAATGTGCCATTGTTTTTGATAGAAAAAACCAGTAAGTCCATCTTCACCAGGGGCACTGCTGCTTTTGATACCAAAAGCTGCCTTCCTGATTTCGTCATGAGAGACCTCTCCTGTCAACACTGTGTTCATCTCCGTGGTGACCCTGGTTTCAAAACCCTCAAACAAGGATTCCAGATCACTTGGATTTGAGCTTGTGAACAGATCTCTGAATTATTTAGTTGCCATGTGTCTTTTAGACCCTTCAGAATAATGTTCGTTTCCAAAGATATCCTTTAACATTAAAATTTTGTTTCTTATCTTTTTTTCCTTTCACCACGTGATGAAAGTATGTCGTATTTCTGTCTCCTTCCCTTAACCATTTCTCTCTACTTTTTTGTCTCCAAAAAATCTCCTCTTCTCTATAGGCCGTAGCTAAATCATGTCTTATCCTCCTCATCAGACCATAAATTTGAAATTGCTTTGAGCTTTCTTTGTCAAAATCATTTTGTAACCTTTCTATTCTTGTTTTTGAATTCTAATCATTATAAAAACATTTTTTATTACTATTATGGAATTCTTATATAGATTGTAAATTTCAAAATCAAAATGACTTTCTTTTCTCCTACTATATAGCTAACTGAACACTTTTTGATATGGATTATCGTGAGGAACAATGATCCGGATTTTAATAGTGAATTTATTTTGTATATACATCTCAATTTAAAAATAAAAAGATTTGATCTGTGTTTTTAATTTCGAATTAATTTATGGTTGACAATTTATAATAAAAATATATTTACTTACTAATTTAATTTTTTTAAACAAAATTCATATTCATAATATGTGATCTTTAATAAAATTTTAATACGTGATATATTTATTTTTTATTTTCCAATTTAAAGTTATATGATAAATCATTTATTAGAAGCTTTATTTGCTGTTTTATTGGAATTAGAAAAATATTGTCGATTTTTATTTAAGAATTAAAAGTGACACTTATTTTGGAATGTGCGAAATAGAATTTAATAATATTATATAGTATAATATATAATTTCAAAACTATTCCCATATAAGAAAAAATAATTTGTGTTGCATTGTTCTTTTGTTTGAGTTTAATTAACTCAGTTTGCACAATAAAACATTATAATTAAGTTTTTTTTTGATAATTATATATAGAAGCCAACTATCTAGATTAATTATGATAATAATATATATTTAAACAAAAAAAAGTAAAAAGAAAATCGAAGTAGAAAAAACTTCGTACTATCACATGTACAAATTGAAAAAGAGATTATTTAATTCAAATTATATGTAAAGCTATATTACGTAATTTAACACTTGTAAATAATTAATACTTGGTTATTTAATGAATATTGTTTGTTAAAATATTTAAAAGATCTCTTCAAGATATGGTAGATAATTAAAATGTTTAATATTTAATATAGTTCAATAGCATTAACTTGTAATTATTGAGGAAAATTAAAAAGGGTTAATTCAAAATTGTACTTCAGTTTTAATAGTATAGACTAGATTTTGACCCGCGTTTTGAAAGCGCGGGATAAGTTTTTGGTTAATTTTTCTAATTTAGGAATCACTATGGTTTTATTTTTTTCTTAATTTTAATATTTGAATTTTGACGTCTAGAATTAAAAGTAATTTATATTGTTGTCTTATAGTAATTTGGGTTGGATGTTTAGATACCGTTACATTTTTCGGATCCGTTTAGTGTGAGTAATGTTAGATTGGATTTGTATTTATATTTTTCGAGTTATTTAGGTTTGGATGTTTAGGACCCGTGTAAGAACCAAACATTTTCCAGATCAGTTCATTTCGAGTAATGTCGGATTCGGTTTGTATTTATAATTTTTTGTAAAACCCGAAATGAAACCGAATTATAAATATTTTGAGTCATGTTAAAGCCATAAATCTCAAAAAACGTTGAAAAATTGAATGAACCCCAAAAATACAAAAGGGTAATTTAGGTAATTAAAAATTTTACATATTATAATATATAAATTATATATGTTATGATAATTAATATCTTTATTATGTTTCAGATATTTGGATACTTGTTCGGTTATCGGTGTGGTT